GCACATGTACAGGTCAGAAGAAAGTTTTGGGCATCCTAGCCTATCACTCTGATTACTCTGAGTCAAGGTCTGTTGTCATACCTGGAACTTGCATTTTCTTGGTTCCATTAGAAACTAGCAATCCCAGAAACCTTGTTCACTATTCCCCTTGGATCTGTGGTTACAGCATGAATAGGATACCCAGCTTGTCATGTGGACTGGGTAAACTCCAGTCCCTGTGATTGCACAGCAAATGCTCTTGACTGAAGAACTGTCTTTCCAGCTAGAAGTTCTCATTCATCCCATTTTACAACTGAAGATACAGAATCCTGGGTGGAATAACTTTCTGAAAATTGTATGACTGGGTATTACTGATGTGTGGAGGACCAGGATTGGAACATTTGAGAGGCTTCTCATTTTCCTAGCTTACACTCACTATGGACCATATTTCTAAATAGTCTATATGTATATTATATAGACAGGGAAACATATAACTCAATTTGTACACAAATACATATTTTAATGTAACAATTATTCTTTATTTACTTTCAACAGAAGACTAGACTAGTAGTCACTGCTCCCAGTAGGAATGTTTCTTCATGTACCATCACCTTCCACAGTCTGCTTTTTACAGATAAGGACATTCTCCATGTTTATCATTTTGCTGTTGGTTGGTAGCTATCCTTCATGGTGTGGGCTCACATCAGACATCCACTCATTGGTCTGTATTCCTAAAAGAAGCTCTGATGGAGGGAGCTGTCTTCAGAGAGCTTGGTCTCATCTGGTCAGTATGTGCCTGGACCTCTCCGTTCAGAAATAAGTGGTCCTCTCTTAATTCACCCTGTGCGTTTTATAGGAGTCTAGAGTCTAGTTCATTCCATTTGAGAAGATAAGTAATATGTCTCATATTCTTATACATCTGACCAATACATTCATGGTATTTATGGTATCAAAATTAAAATATTATCAGACATGGTGATACAGATTTGTAATCCCATCCCTTGGTGTAGGGAATCTCAATTTTGAAGTCAGCCTGGGCTACAGGGTGAGACTGTCCCCAGACACACCATGAACATTGTTTGTTTTTGCTTTTCTTTCTTTACCTTGTTTAAAGTATAACATACTTTGACCCTTTAATATGAAAATTGAAAAGTACCTCTGCTGGTGGTATAAAATGTCACAAGCTTTCCTTAATTGATTTGAGAAATCTGTACACAAGAAAAGAGGAAAGAAGATTGTGTCTCAAGAATTAAGTACAGCCACCAATTTTCATTTAAAACTATAATGATTGAGAATTGAAATGAATTTCAGTTAAAAGAAATTAATTCATATGCAATAATTCATAAACTTAGCAAAACTTGACATTTGAGGCATGTTAGTTGGCCTATGACTATATAAATATAAAAGTTAAAATATCAAAATAATTAATATTTTATCAAATAGTTTATTTAAAAACTAACCCAGCGTTTTATAGATTATGAGAATTATTTATATTGAAATAAAAAAAGTTCTGCTGCTTTATTTTCTCAGTAGAGAGAGCACACTAACTCTATCAGACATTATAGACAAAAAAAAAAGATTCCTGATTAAGCCCCAGGGCTGTCATTTGTGTTATCAATCATAACCTGTCACAAGAGTGGAGGGCATTTTTCAGTAGCTATTTAAAATTAGATTATTATTTTGCTTTTAAAAGCACAGTGAGGCTTGACATTCCCCCATGTTTAATGTACTCTATTACAGTGGGCTTGCAGAACAGCACAGTGCGGTGACAGAGGATCTCTGTCCTTGCCCCCACATCTGTCATAGGCTTTTAAAAAATCATTATTAAAGTATTCCTATTCAACCCTGCTTTTCCCAAGGACCTTCTGCCTTTGGAATATTTATCCTTCAGGGGGGAATATTTCCATGATGGGGTATGTTTTAAGCCTGTGGCCCATTTATGGTACTGCCTACTACTGCTTTTCAAACTTGTCATGGAACAGCTCCAGAGGTACCTGGGATGCACGATAAAAACATATTTTCAGACTGAGGTGATGAACTAGTAGCTAAAACCCTGGGCATGTCAGTGTGAGGAATTCCATCTGCGGTACACAAGTAAATGCTAGGTGACTGCTGCAGCCTCCCTGGAATTCCAGTGCTCAGTAATCAGATCCCTGGACTAAGGTTATGGGCAGACTAGTGTGAGCTTCAAGTTGCCCTCAGTGAGCAAAATGGCAAGCAGTAAAGGAGGGCTCCTGATGTCAATCACACGGAACCACATCTGTGTGCACATATCCCCAACATGTGTCTATATGCATATGACTATACACATGCACATATATATGAATACATACACATGCACAAAAATGAAAATAAAACACATATTCTTTGGTCTTATCCTGACATGCAGATCAAATTGTACATTTTAAGAAAGCCACTTAAGTGATTCTGTTACTTGCTCGAGTTGGAAGTATATCAGGCAAATGTATTTTTAAATTTCATAATATTTTTATTGATTGTTTGAGAATGTCATATTATGAGTCCTGAGCACCCTCACTTCCCAGTCCTTCCAGGTCCACCCCCTCCCCACTGCTGGGACCCATCCCCATATCCTCACTGGAGCATAGTCTAACTCCTGGTGGCCAGCCCCTTAAAGAAAGCCAAATCCTTCCCCATCTGTGCTCCCTCTAACTAGAAAGGGCAAGGACAAGTTTCTTTATTGAAGAATGAGGCAAGTTTGAAGGAGCAGTGTTATGAAATATCAACTCAGTGAGTTAATAAGGGACAGTCGTTTCATTTTAAAGTGGAGAAGTAGAGCAGGCTGATACTCCACGCTCCTTATGGCCTTGAAGGGGTCCTTCTGTCTGTCTGGCCTTTGAATACTTCCACTTTAATATGTGTGGGCTTCTGAGAAGATTCTCTTTGGTCTTTCAAACTAGTTGTAAGCCTTTGGTTGACAGCCTTGAAAATGGATTAATTTTTTTAAAAAAATCAAATCCTTTGGGGATTTAAACTTGTCCCTGGCAATCAAAGGTGGTGCTTAGAACACAGTAGATGAGTGTTTTTCAGTTCTTCAAGACCGCAGTGTTTCAAAGTCTTTCTAATGTCGGCTAACTGGGATGTAACGTGAAGGACACCATCAACCTACCAAGTGATACTACGGGCTATAGATTTTCAAAACCTTAGAAGCTCCCATCAAGGCTTCTGATGTAACTTTTGAGAGGTGGTATTAGTGAAGGAAATGGACCAAGGAAGGACAACATTAATATCAGCTCAAGTTCAAGCCCATTCCCTTGTTATTGGTTTGTTTTAGTGAAAAAAATCATCATTAAATACATCTCAAAGACAAAGTTGAGAAAACAAAACTTATCGGATGTAATAAGAACATCTGACATTTTATGAAACACATTGGGTGTTGCTTAGATGAGAAGTTGTGAAAAAGAAAGAACTGCTCCCCACACCGCTGAGTTAAATCAGGCTGCCCCAGAGGTTTCTTTCTTTCTTTGTGAGACCAAAGAACAATGTTTGTCATCATCTGTGGATAACTTGCCCACCTCAGCCACATCTCCAGGACATCATCCCCAGGGTGCTTACTAAAGAACATGGTGGATCCATGGTCACTGTGAAACATGGGACTTTCCCCCTCAGAGAGAAATTTAAAAATGGGAATCAAAAGATATGAGGAATTACTTAAGACTAAGAGCTTGGGTTTTGTTTTTGGTGTCTTACTTCATGCTGACTCAACAGTCTCTTGTTTAACTCTACAGTAAGAACTGATGGTGTTGTTTTCCTGTGATTCTATCCAGAGAACAAAGACTTCACTTTCAAGTTTCCTGTTTCAGGGCTTGTTTTACTAATTTATTCCTCAGTAGTGTAGAGAGTCCCTGGATGGGAATATAAAACTGATAGCAGAGATAATGTAGTAGATATGGGTTATGTTTTATCTGAATGGACTTCTGACATCCTTAGGGTGTCACGATGATAGAGTACCAAAAACACTGTGTACAGCTTACAGAAATACTATTGCCAGCACAGTTCTCATGCCATGGCAGAACCCCGGGACCTACCAGGGTTAGAAAGTAAGTACTGGACAGGCACACGTGGAGAAGGAAAAGGGAATTAGTTTCTCTTTCTTCTTCTTGCCAAGAATTCTAATTCACTGTATTTTAATTCCAAGAATCTTTGATCTCCTTGGCCTAGAAAATCCAACAAGGAAAGAAGTTTCATCAACGCTGTGTGTGAATGCCTGATATGCTTTTGACTTGTTATTTCTTAATTTGGAAAGACAAAATGCTAAGCAAATATTTGCACATTGCACTGAAAGGAAAATTCAAAACCGTATTATGAGCATGTAGTCTGCTGACCACATGTTGTTTTGATTACAAGTTATCTCTCCTGGTTGCCTCATTGCCTGGAAATACTTTGCTCTGCATTGAGGAGGTCCCTGCCACAGTCTGTGTGTGGCTTTCTTTTCATCTTTGCTCCAACAGGCATGGCAGGTGCCACTTGTCCTGCACGCCACTGACCCTGTTCTTCACATTCTACAAAGAACTTTGTTTTTTCTGCTGAGAACACATATCAAACAATCTCTAGTCTTTCAGTCTTTCAGTGTAAGCAGGTGAGGTATGAGGGTTCTCTCAGAGAATTTGACACTTAGCATTTTGTTTTCTATGGTAATTAAAGTATATTAGGAGATATCACGGGCTGGAGAGATGGCTCAGTGGTTAAGAACACTGACTGCTCTTCCAGAGATCCTGAGTTCAATTCCCAGCAACCACATGGTGGCTCACAACCATCTGTAATGGAATCCGATGCTCTCTTAAAGTGTGTCTGAAGACAGCCACAGTGTACTCATATACATAAAATAAATAAATCTTTTTAAAAAAAGAGATATCATCATCAGCGTCACATCAGACACTGCCAGGCAAATCGAGACATTCATGGTTGTCAGTTTCTGGCCTTAATTTTAATTACTGTTGAGAAAACTTGGTATTAACATTTTTCATGTAAAAGTTAGAAAAAATTGTGTTATTTTGTTTCAGGGCCGAGATCTGGACTATAAAATTCAGGAATATAAAGAAGCTGGGGAAGTCTTTCCTGAAAATCAGATAGTAGAATGGTTCCTCCAGTTGTTGCTTGGAGTTGATTATATGCATGAGAGGTACGTACATCTGCTTCTGGGGGCAGGGTATATATTTTTTAACTCTCATGTCTGAACTTGAAAGGTGAATATTTTTTATTGATTTGAAAGCAAACACGTCCAGGTGATGAATGGCCACAGTCAAACATCAGCAATATTTTATAATAAGATTTTTTTTCTTGAGGAAACTGTAGAATAATTATTTATCCACAGAGTACCTATTTATCAGTTATATGTATGTGAGTGTGGTTGTGTGCATGCCACAGTTTGGGTGTGGAGGACAGCCGATGGTGTTGACCTGTGCCGTTTCCTTGTCTGAGCCTGGGCATCTCAGTGTGCTCTGCTGAGCATGCCAGGCCATTGGCCTCTGAGAGTCTCCTGTCGCTCATCCTGCCAGCAGACCGCTCAGGTTACAACAGGAGTTTCCATATTCCGCTTTTCAGCTTTTTTTTTTTTTTGTGGTACTTGGAATTTGAACATAGTCCTCATGTTTACACAGACATCACCACCCACTGAGCCGTATCTGCAGCTCTCTACCTTTTTTTTTTTGTTTTTTGTTTTTTGTTTTTTGTTTTTTTTTTTTGGTAGTTCTAGAAACCAAGTTGATCTTCAGTGTAGTAGAAACTGTATTGAACTTGGTGCCCTATCTAATTATCTCCTGTGAATTAAAGCTGAGACTTAGACATCCTCAGCAGGCGATGACAGATGCAGATTTAAGTCAAAGCTCATTCTTGATATAAATATTAGCTAATGGTCCAAGTGCATCCTTTGAGTTTCAGTTGTCTGTCAGTTTTGTTTACAGAATTTGCCTCACATTACCTTTTAAAACATTGCATATGTTTTAACAATACGTAAAACATCTTTTCAGATGTTAAGCTGTTAAACATTTTTGGACCCATCAAATGACACAAATGCATTTGAAGTAATAGACTCTCAAAGGGGGTGGCCAAGGCACTCTCACTGCAGGAGTGAGCCGGACACCTGGGGACCGTGTCTTCGGTGGCAGTGGTATTTCTCGGTCACACCAAGGTCTGGCAGTCAGGGAAGTCACTGCTCAAGTGTGTCATCTGTGGTTTCTGATAGCATAAAAACTAATCAGATGTAACTGCCGTTTCTTTTGTAACGGCCATCAGGTTCTGTTACTTTGTAAAGGCCGCCGGTTCTGCTGCTCCGGTCCGCAGGTCAGGGTCTAGCAAGAGAGAGAGTGGGGTCGGAGGAAGGGGGAAAAAGGGGCGAGAGACGCAAAAGATAGATACAAGACAGAGTCCGGTGGAGTCTCTTCAAGTCTCTTCTTTATTCTCCTCTCTTCTTCTATATTCTCACTCCTTCAGTCTCCTGACACCTCTCACTTTCTCACTTCTACCTCCTACCTTCTACCTCTACCTCTACCTCCTACTTCTTCCCTTCTTTACTTCCTACTTCCTACTACTTCTATAGAAGGGAAATCCTGGGTATTTATACCCTTTACCACGTGACTTGCCCTCGTGGACAATCTCAACTGAAGCCACTACATCACGTGCCTTGTAGCCATGGATACCAGGAGCACCTTGCAGCTGGGGGCACTAAACAGTGTAACAAGATGTTTATCAGAGTGCGCTCAGCTATTGCAGGCTGTTGAAACAAGTCTCTTGTCAGGGTATATGGCTCAAGATGGCTGTAAAGATGATAGCCACTTTCGGCTAAGAGTCGGCTCCCAACAATCAGAGCCCCTTGCAATTGGCCATGTATCTTCTGAAACACACGCTCAATGACACAGATAGTGACTAATTCAGTGTGACTCCCAGCAGTCTCTGTAGTGATGTCCTGAGATGGTGATGAGATATCACATAATCTTTAATAAACAGCCAGAGCTGCTGACTGTCGGCTTGTGCGCACGCACACTCATGCTGCTACCATCTCCTTCCTTCCCATCCTCCCCTCCTCACCCGTTCTGCCTGTCTTTCCTTTCCTGCTGCTCATTAGCAGACTTATTGGATAAAAGGACATATCTATCTGGTTGACTTAAGATCCCAAATTTGATCTTTCTATTCTTGTCTTTCAATTTTATTATTTTAGTTTGTATTCTACAGGGTTGCGTGTGGCTTTTCCATGGCAGTATAAAATATACTCTGAGCACATTCCCCCAATGTTTTTGATGTGCTTAAGATTACTTAGTAATAGTTAAAAATAAATGAGTTTAAAAACAGCCTCTAAAGGGAGTAGTGCCATTTTCAGTCTGTCAGTATTTATAGAGTCACTCAACATGGCTTCACATGTGGATGCCACTGAATCTGTGGCTCTGAAATTCTAGTCTTGGTGATCCAGATGAAAAATGATGATGTCTCTTAATCATTATATTGAGCCAATCATTATAAGCTTCTTATGTATAGAGCAATGCCAATTTTATATTTTAATAGTCTTTATTCATCTAATAGCAATAAACTAAAAATAAGCCCTAAACTTAGAGAACAGTTTGTTTAGTGTAAGTGGTAAAAACTCAGTGCCATGGCTGCAGGGCAGGAGGCTGTCCAGAATCACCGTCTTCACTGTGCAAGAGGTCAGGACACTGTGCAAGCTGCTCAGCATCTCTGAGCCTTGTTTCCTCATCAGTAAAATGGTAGCGAGGATGGGACTGTCACTGCTTGCTTTATAGCACAGTAGGGAATCCACGCTGTGATCTTATGTGCTTAAGCAGCTTCTAGAATATTGCTATTTGTGCTAATAATTAAATATAGTCATAAGGGGCTACCAGGAGATGATTTTAACCTGCAATAACACATGGATGTGTGGTTGACAGGAATCCAGAGCATTTGTCACATAGAGACACTTTGGGGAAATGTGTAATGGAATTTTCTAGACTAAACATGCAAATAGTGGTTATATTCCTTCAAGATGGGCAGAGATCAGTGATGAGACCTTTTTGATGCAGACCACAAGAATATAGTGGGTATGCTGTTGCAGACTTGCCCTCGTGTCTTCTCTGGTACTAACACAATCATCAAGCTATGTAATCACATCAATGGGGCGGAAGGGTAAAGAAACCATAGCATCTATATACACAACAGGGCTTATTCAGACACAGTGGAGAACCATGTGTCATTTGCAGGAAACTGGGTGGAGTCGGAGATAATCAAATCAAATGAAACCACACTTACCATATATTTTTCTCTCACATGCAGAATCTAGATTTTATAAAAGAACATGAAAGTGGAGGGAAGCTATTCAGGGCTGGGAGGGGAAAGGTGACAAAAGGGATAAGAATGACAAATTACACCAGATGCAGGTGTGAAATTATCACTATGGAATGCATTCTTTTGTAAAAGTGATATGGACTAACAAAAAAATTAAAAAAGGAGAAATGAGGGCTGACCACTGACAGGTATACAAACATGGCCACAGGAACCTTTTTTAAATATAATGGCTAATGCACTGTAAGCTCTTTATCTACAATGGAATGACTGGATAAGCTGTGGTATTATTAGATAGTGAAATACAGGCCTATAATGGAAAATAACACATAAACAATACTCTGTGATCTGAATGACTCTTCAATATGCAATGTAGGATGAAAGGCAGGTGTAGATGGACACATACTGTTGTGTGATTATTCAAATCCAAGCTCAAACCAAGGTGCATCTAACTGATGGTGAGTCACTGTAGTGCTTACTCGTGGGAGGGAGCTTTGCTACAGGAAGCTCAAAGAAACAGACTGGGTACTGGGATTCTCTGTATGTAAATTAGGGTTGATGACTATGTGGGTGACACATATGTACAACTGTGTTAAAATCAAGATTTATGCATTTCAGGGTGAATTGCAGAAAATGGCGAGTGTTAAGAACAGTAGATATTCCGTGTAGGAGATCAGAAGAGGCATCACTCCACTCCAGAAAATAAGGCTTCTTGAAATGAGTGATGTTTAATTTGACCCAGGGTAGGTTTTGAGTATAGCTAAAGATGGGTCAAGCACTTCCCAAGTTTAAGGAACAGGTTGACCAGAGAGAGAGAGAGAGAGAGAGAGAGAGAGAGAGAGAGAGAGAGAGAGAGAGAGAGAGAGAGATTGAACAGTAGTCCATTTAGAGTGAATGAGGAGGATGGGTGGGTCTGTTGAGAATGCTCTTGAGGTGAAGGCTTGAATGGAGATGTGGACAGAGAGAAGTTGGGGCCAAGAGGGGCCTTGTTTTGTAACATGGATGCTAGATGAGGTGGGAGCCTTCGGAAGTTGTGACCAGAGCTTGCTTCAGGAAGATCAGATTATAACATATGGAAGAGAGAAGGGGTGGGAGAGAGAGAGAGGGATGGGGGGAGAGACAGAGACAGACAGAGAGTAGACAGAGACATAGGGATGCACAGAGTGACACAGAGACAGGGAGAGATGGAGATAGGGAGCTGAGTTATTAATCAGAAACCTTTCATACTGTCCATGTGAGAGGTTATGAGACCTGGGGCAAGGCAGCAACATCAGGGAATATCTGGGGAGGATTATGAGTTTAGTGACCTGCAATGACTGAACTTGAGATTGTGTCAGTATGTTAAATATGATAGAAAGTCAGAGGCAGGGTCTTGGGCTAGAGAGGACTAGTAGAATACTCATATAGTATTCTTAAGGATTCCCAGGGCCATTGGAGGCAGGTATCAAAGATAAACTTGAGGTTTGGGTTTGGGAGAATGAGAGGCTGGAAACAGTCACGCTGAGATTAATTGTGAGTATGGCAGGCAGAACATGGAGGGGAGTGATGAGAGAAAGGAGTTTGAAGTGAGTCTTGGGGAAGCACCGGGGCTTGCATTTGTTTGGATTCCTATAGTATTAAAGTCCTGAAACCAAGATGAGAATATAGTTTGCTTAAAAGCTGTGCTGGTTTGAATGAGAAGGGTTGTTACAAGCTCATATATTTGATGCTTGGTCCCTAGTTGGTGGAACTGTTTGGGAAGGATTGGGAGGTGTGGCCTTCTTGGAGGTGGTGTGCCACTGGGAGTGTGCTCTGAGATTTCAAAAGCTCATGCCACTCTCAGTTAACTCTCTGCCTTATGATTGTGTTTTATGG